GGTCTGTCCTGGTGGTCTGTGGTTCACCACTTGCAACCCCCTCCCAGAAAAGGTCCAGAAAACTGTCTAACGGTTGACCCACGACCAGACCCACAGACCATAGGTCAGACCGCGGATCATAAGTCAGACCACGGGCAGTGGTCATGGTCCGTGGATCACACCCCTCATATGTCAGTCCCAGAACCCCATCGACGGTCGCCAGGACGGACCGTCGGTCTGGTCCGTCGGTGACCCCGACAGCTTTTAAGTCAAGGGTCGTTTGGTCTTTTCCTCATGTGTTGGACCCATAAACTATGTCGTTTAACCCCTAAACTATGTGATTTTGATCATTTTTAGCCTAGTAAACTAATTAGAACCTAACCCAATCAATTATTCACCAAAATCAAGCGAAACTTAAAGCAAAATAGAGGAGAAAGTCCAGCAGCCCTAGTTCAAGAATGCAACGAGATTTCATCAGTTCCAGCTCCAAAATTGAAAGATTTCTTCGTGGAATTCGTCACCAGGTATGTGGGATTTTACTACTGGGTTCCTTTCACCCATTGGGTCCCTAGATTTCAATCAGAATCTTGATTCCTTAATATTATCTAGACCTAGGGTTTCTTGAATGTTAGAAATTGTTGGGTTTTAGCTGTTAGAATGATCCAAATAAGATTATCATATTGTTACTTAGTTTTTTGTATGATATTCAGAATCCTAGCTATGTAGTTCTTTTAGTTCATGAATTACACATACTAGGTTAGTTATTTCAAATATACATGCTTCAGTTTACAACTATCACATTATTAGTTATAATTGTTGCATTTTCAGATTTGCATGTCAGATTATTGAGTTATCCCATTTACTTCAGTATGTTATAAATTTCACATATTCAGTTAGGAGTAAGCTTAATACAGAGTTGGACTAGGGTCAGTCACCTTCAAGTCCCAGAACGACGTGCCCCCGTAGGTTATAAGTCCCATGTGTGGGTATCAGTTTAGTGATCACGCCAGTCATGCCTCTATACCTCTGGCAGGGTATATGGGGTCCTCTCGATGGGGCGTATACATTGGACTCCATATTTAGCTCATGTGTTTTTATGTAAGTTATTAGTAGCTCCCACAATCAGATTCCATTGATTGACGATGTTATCAGTTACAGTCAGATTTCAGTCTCAGCATGTATAAACTTGGTCATTGCATTCATGTTTAGTATTTTCAGTATAGTATCATGCTTTTCTCATTTCATTGCTCATTTATATGCTTTGTTCAGTTATGTATATTGTTCAGCTTTATTCTATCTTTGCATGCTCAGGACCTTTCAAGTACTGACGCATACTCTGCGCTACAACTTCTCGTGATGTAGGTTCAAGTCCTCAGCTTCCAGATCACGTATAGATTGGTTCCTGATCTTCAGCTCAGCAGTATCAATGGTGAGTCCTCATTCTCCGAGGACGAAAGACATGTTTCTTTTGCTTTTAGTCTTTAGTTTCGGTCTTTGCTAGATTCAGCTGGGGCATGTCCCAGCACTTCTAGTCAGTTAGAGGTTTATTTCAGACATAGTTAGTTTCAGCTTTAGCATTTGAGTTTGACCTTTCAGTTGTTGTTAAACTCTCAGTTTTTATATATTCAGATAATTATGGGTATCCCCATCATTTCATTTAAGGTTATCTTATGATTTAGCTTCCGCACAGTATTTACTTACTTCAGTTTATTTAGTATGTTTATGATATGCCAGCAGGGTTAGCTTGGGGTCACTCGTAACCCTAGGTCCCGTGTCCGCGTCCTGGGGGTAGCTTCGGGGCATGACATTAACTTGGCTTACTGCTTTGGACACGTTTTTCCTATTTTATCTCTGCATAAATGAACTCTTCCCGCATCTTCATTTTAAGTCTGGTATGTGTTATGTGAACCTGGTTCATGTTGTCAACATCAAAAGTATTTTGAGCAATTCATTATTCATCAAATGTTATACCCCAGAATTGATAGACATTCAAGATACTACAAAATTAGGTGTCTCCAATTTTCAACCTGGTGCAAGAGGTGGAGAGGGTAGTTGCATCGACATATGGGGCATAGCATGGTGACCACCATTTAAGTGCCGATGAGGTGGTGGCAGACGCTAAACATTACCACCCATTACAGCTGGTGGTAGAGGGGACCTATTTAGGGGTGGAGCTAACTGTGAGGGCTGCGGAGGTGGCATTCCTCTGTGCATTTGTTGCTGCAGAATGCCACCTGCAGCTAGTTGCATAGGTTGTCCCTGGCAAGCTTGTGGTGGAGGCATCTGCATTGGTGGGTAGACATTAGGGTGCATAGGTGGTGGCTGAATTGTTGGAACAGGAGCTGGAGGCATAGGACCATTTGCAAAAGGCAGTGGGGGAATAGGAGCATCAACCACACCATTGGCTTCTAGAACACTGGGGACTGTTGGTTCCCCATAAAGTTCTATCGTATTCAGTACCTTTATTGCATAGTCAACATCTTCTTCACTTCGGAATTCCACAAAACCGTATCCCTGATGAGCATTAGTAACTCTGTCCTTGGGGACATAAACATTGACTACTAAACTTGTTTGAACAAACATGCTCCTATAACAACTCTTCAGCAATTTGAGGGTCGAGATTGCCGACATAGTCAGTGGCGTCTTGGTTGCGCTCCACCCAGTGTTGGCTCAGAAGGTTTGCCGGAATTCAAAAGTACCCACAAAATAGTAAAAGTTGCCAGGTTTTAAACTAAACTAACCAGAAACACAGAAGCTAAACATAATATCCTTGAGGAAGCAAGACTAAATAAATACTAAGTTATATAAGTCTCTGAATAAAACATTTGTGACTTGAAAGTTGTCCCCCATGATAGTCTTGAGCGAGTAAAAGCTTGAAATGTATCTAGTCATTGCAATAACATCATGGTAAACATTAACCACCCTGGGCTTCTTCCATTTTGGGTTGTAAGTAGGGTGGTTCAAAATCAAACTGAAACCGATAAACCAAACCTAAAAAAAGTTATTGGTTCATCGGTAATGGTTATTGGTTTAATGGTTTTGATTTTTTTTTTATTATCGGGTTATCGGTTCTTAACGAGGTTTTTTCTTAACGAGTTAACTGATAGCCCGATTGTTTATTAATAAATGATATTTATACCATTCGGTATATAAAATCCTAGACTTAGGATTTACTTCTTCTTTTTTCTGACAGTCTTAAACTTTTGATTATTCTACAATGTGTTAGTGTTGTTTTTGAGCAAGATACAAGCTATCAACATATGTGCATGGTTTATTTGGTTTGTCACCATGCTTCTAAGTGATTTTCAATCATTTATTTTTTGTATCAAATCATAGCGGTTAAACCGATAACGATCAATAACCTATAAACCGGTAACCAGTAAGCCAATATCTTAATGGTTCTTAACAATTTAGCATGTCTACAAACCGATAACCGATAAGTTGAATTGATAAACTTTAAAACCGAACCGACCGATACGCAGCCCTTGTTGTAAGAAGCTAGTTTTGTGCGACTTCATCAAGATTTCTCCATCTTTCCAAAATATTATCAGTTCAAAATTATAGTTATCCATATCAGAGGGAATAGAATTCACCAAAATGTTATCTTTAGTTCAAGATTCAGCAATCCCATACTCTTTCATCCACCAGATATTAAGGTGTTTTTGTCGATATGATCAGTCAAACAAAGACAATTCCCCAACTCTGCTAGCCTCAAACGCGAGGATGGAGTTTCCAGACCCAGTGGAGCTGGCAGGGACTTGATCTTTTCTGCCTCAATATCGAAGCAGTAAATTCTGTCATTTTCTTCGCGATCCATCCAATGAAGAGCACCATTGACATTAACCTGGCCAAAACTATACCAAACAGGACAGAATTTCACCCACTTATCTCCATTCCACACCAACTCCAAGGTATAAACCTCCAATTCCAATACTTTAGTATGATCCTGAACCTTTTTGTTTACTAATCTCAATACCTTATAATCTCATTATTTGCCTTCTTTGTATTCATTCTTCATATGTATTATTCTGTAATTGTATGTATATCAAATCAAAATCAATATATCGTGCCTTTTGAATTACCTTTTTTCTCATTATGTTTTTCTATTTATCGTCTTGGATATGAGGTATTGTTGACCCAAAAGTTGTGAGATTAACACCGATAGCAGCAGCGTGCTTGATGTGGGAAATAGCCTTGCAAGCGTAAGCAAATATGATTTGGGTTGGGCTAATCCCATGACTTAAGACTGTCAATCTCGAGAAGGCTAGCACAATCAAAATTAGCACCTAAGTTGGCTAATTTGGTAACAAGTGCAGGATCACTGTTGCACTTGACAGCACAGAAAAGATAGAGTACTGTTTTGTTGCTGCTTCTATGCATTTATTGATCTCCTTACATAGTTACAGAATGCCCATATATGACAAAAATTGATCACGCTTATGAAGGATCACTTACGTTACAAAATTGTATCCATGTTGCCTGATAGTTGAAGATCACACATAGTGAGATACACAATCTGAATAAATATGTGCTAATATTCCTTGAATACCTGCTTTAGAAAACTTCAAGTCATACACCTGTTCAAATTTCTAATATCCCTACTTGCTTAGCTCTGACCGAACTCATCTAGAAATGTTTTTCATAGTGAACAGGGTTATTTAGTTCCTATATAGACATTACTGCATCTGCATTTCCACTATTGTTTAACATATACAACTACTACTACTTTCTTTAGGATAGCAGACATAGGCAGCTCTTCAATGGTTTGCAGACAGTTCTTTTGCTTGTAACCGCTGTCCACACTAGAGGATATCTTCATGGTTTAGAAAGTTTAATCAGTGAATGCACTCTAACGCTTACTTTATACACTGTCAACATGGTGGAATAACAGAACGCAAAAATGGCAAAACCACTGAAGCACCTTGCAGTAAAAGTTAAAAGGTAATCGAGGTATAGTTACGAAAACCAAGCCATAGGCAAACTGGTCCAAGCCTCCTACCTGCTTGCCATATGCTAAAATTTTATGTACGAAATCCGGATTTGATCTTTTTCTGAGGTTTGTGTTGTGGATACGTCATTGAAGGTGAAGTACCCAGGGGTATCATGGGTAGCAAACGTTGCCCATTTGAACTGTGTGTAGGTGAAGAGAAAGGACCCAAGTGCGGGGTTTGTGGACCTAGCTCTTTCAACTGTCTCAATGCACGGCCGCATGGTTTACTGCTGCCATTTCCCATGCCTAATTTTCTCTTCTTCTGTAGTAGCTCCCACTGTAGGTTGTCCTCTTTAGCATGATCCTGGTCCTTCACTACAAGGTTAATGATAGAACAACAATTTGCAAACAATAGCACAGTCAGTAGCACTAAAAGGTTTAGCAAGTGAGCAAAGCTGATATTTCCCAAATGCAGCTCCTAACAAAACCAGTTTACAAGCAATTTCCATTTCGACAATTGAAACACAAATAACAAAATTGGAAGTTATAATACTACAGAATATAGAAAGGACAGATGCTACACAATGCTAATGCACAGGGATTGAGAAAAGCATAGGTGAGTGGATGACTATTGTCTATATAAATTCCATCCATATTAAGATGTTTCATTCACCATTTCTAAGCATATGTACATTCTCAGAAGCGTGTATTCCTTCTTCCAAACAATCATTGAGTTCGTTAATTTTAGAAAAATAACAAGTTTGAACTCCTTCAATAAAGAACTGAAGATCATAACAAGAAATTTAACGAGTTCAAAAGGTTTTGGCATAAAAAGCTCAAATCCATATAGTGACAGCAAATGAAGAGTCGCCAGATTTATCAGTATGTGTAGTATGGGAGGTAAATTTAATTTACTAAATAGCAAGACTCTGAGAGACAGTGCATCCTTGGCCACCCATAGTGAAGAGGTTTTTCTCTTCAGACTAAAGAGACGGCTGACATTAAGTGAATTTGTAGTAAACTAATCAAGTATGAGTAATACCTTCTCTTGCTCAAATTGTTCCTTTGATCCATTCTTGGCTTTCGAAAGAAATCCTTGATATTTCCTTGCCATTTCTTCTGATTCCTTCAGCTTGTACAACACCTCAAGTCTATTATGTTCTGCTATTCTTGCCTTCTTCCTTGCTTCCTCCAACTCTGTCCTCCCTGTTCTCATTGCTCCTCCCATCTCTTCCACTATGCTCAGTAAGCGATGACATCTTCCTGATGTGACTTCTAGCTTAAGACCCTTGACATAGTCGACCATTGGACTACACATTCTTGTGGCTAGCTCATCTACTAGGTTGTCCACTCCACACTCTACCAAGCTCAGTGTAGTAATAACAAGACGGAATATGTGTTTTAGAAGTTGAATTGTGATCAAAGAAGTGCCATTATTTTCACCTCTTTGGTGAATGGCAGAAACATATGCAACAGCTTTCTTGAAAACATTATGTATGGAATTTTGATGGTCACTAAGGGTCTGAAGAATGTTGGTTTGGCTTGTATTTACTTGGGATTCAACTTGTCTTAGCAGATGGATCAACTGCATTAGCTGCATCTCTTGTTTCTGAATTAGCTCTCTGCCAACTGTTTTGGCTCTATTCATATAGCCTTCTTCCTGCATTTACAAATTGAGAAACCAAGTTCACATCTACTATCAAGCACTTCATGTCGAAATTCATGGGAATCTTTTGAAAAGTCATCCCATTCCAATACTTCATTAAGTCAGTGTTATTCACAAAGCTTTCTTGAAGTGTATAAGACAATTACCACACTATAAACTAAGCTTAGACCTCAATGCTAAACAACGATTAACATTCCATGTACACCAAATGATAACAAAATTTGAGATACACAAAGGCAGAGTGAGTAAGATGTAAAGTTTCAGATTTGTATGGAGCATAGATATATCGTTCAATCACTTCCGGATTTCATGCTTTTGTCATTCAAATGAAAACAGTGTCCAATCACTTGCTTGATACACATATAGGTGTCAAGATTAGCTGCTGGAAAGCATTGCCGCTCCAATTAGTCCCACGGTTCAATTACTGATAGAAATACACATCATACACAGACTCCTGCTATTCTGACTATACGACACACTTTCTGTTATGGAACATTACACTGTTTGAAATTATTACAAATTTCACAAGTTTCAAAACATAAAGTTCATTTAACTATTTAAATTTTATACTCAGATAGTCTCTCTATCAGACTGGGCTTTCAATCACTATGAATAATGTAATTGGAGTGCATAAATTAAACTAACATCTTGAGCTTAGAGTCATATAAAACGAAAAGGAAATCAGCCATTATCAATGCCATACGGAAACTCAAACTCGTTACGTACTACCTCAATTTCACTTGCCTCTTTTCTCACCGTCCTTTCAGCTCCATTCTCGTTTCTCCTGCAGTCCTGTCACCGAAACCATTTTTTTCACTCTCTCTGGGAAAGTAAACACAGAATTGAGAAACCGAATATGCATAGGAGTTTATCTTCACAATTATCAACAGGCTCAAACAGAACTTCAGAGTTCAGACATTGATTAAACAAATGGAGATAACAGAGTATACGAATTGGACGGAAGAGTACATCGGAATAAAAATGATTATAATCGAAGACAACGGTATTAATTTTTCCTTCCTCAGCCATTTCAACAGTCTTCAATCCTACTAGCTTCATCAGCGGATTAGCTAACGATTCAAACACGTCTGCGGCCTTCAAAAAACAAAAATACAAATTAAAACGTCAAATCCACAACTCTCCATTTGCTTAGGTTTTGACAGATGGAACGTAATATTAAAATTAGGAGTTTGAAGAATTTGTACTTCCTGCAAGCCAGTTCGGATCTGAAAATCTAGCTGATTGAAGGCGAGTTTAAGCTGTTCCTGATTAGAAACAATTCGCGAGAACTTAACACGGAGATCACCGATGGACGGAGAAGGAGATGAAGTCGGCGCGAGGAATCGTCGCCGGCGGCCATTCATGGCTGTTTTTTTGGCGGGAAGCACGCGAATACTGGAATTTGAAGGAGATACTGATTCTAATATGTTAAAGTTTAATGAGGAAACAGAACTTCTTTCTGCGAATTAACATTTATTTCTAGTTATATAAAGAGAATAAAAGCTGGATTTAAACTAGGACGGTCCAAAACCGAATCGAAATTTATAATTGAATCGAAAAAAAGTTATTAGTTTATTATTAATGAGTTTGGTTTAACGGTTTTGATAACATTTTTTATTTTTTTATTATTGGGTTATCAGTTCTTAATGATTTGAGGTTTTTTCTTAACGGGTTAACCATAACCTGATAGTAAATTAATAAATTGTATTTTACTCCATTCGGTATATAAAGTTTTTGACTTAGGATATAGTTCATATTTTTATTTCTTGTAGTCTCAAACTTTTGGTTATTCAATAATGTATTAGTGTTGCTTTTAGGCAAGACGCAATATATCAATTCATGTGCATGATTTATTTGGTTTGTCGCTATGCATGTTTCTAAGTGATTCACAATCATTTATTTTTTGTTTCTAAGTGATTTACAATCATTTGTTTTTTGTGTGATTAAATCGATAACCGAACCGATAACAATCAATAACCGATAAGTCAATATCTTAATGGTTCTTAGCATGTGTACAAACCAATAACCGATAAGTAGAACTGATAAACTTCAAAATAGAACTTATCGATACCCAGCCTTAGTTGAAACCTTTTCATATTGTTTCAAAATTATCACACTGGGTTATTATTGTTTCAAAATTATCACACTGGGTTATTAAGCAAGGACGATGAATAAAAGTGCTTCTTTTTTTAAGGGGAAATGGGGGAGGGGATTACAATGTGAGGAATCGAACCCTCACCAACAAGGTGGGAGTTCATGTCGACAACCAACTAAACTACTAAAATTCCCCGATTAATAAAATTTGTTTGATAGGATGCATTAGAAAAAACAATAGTATATGTATTAGCTTTATACTATGATACTTTAATTTGTTCGGTACACTTTTTGAAATTTATGTACAATTAATACAAATATTACTTATGTACACTCTATTTATGTATAACTAATACATGAGAAATTATGATATTAGCAATGCACCGGATTTTAATACATGCATCATGATTAAACATCCTTGTCACCATATATTGTGGATAATATTTATATAAACCACTATTTATTAAAAAAAAATGTAATTAATGTTATTTTTAATACACCTAATCAAACACTATATAAGAAATAATTTCAATATAACTAATGTAATCATAATTAATATTTTTATTATTAATATATCATATTATATACTATTCTTATATACTTTATCAAACGATCCGTGATAACGAAGAATAATACTACCTGAAGCAATGTGTATCCCCATTAATCCTATCTCAGCGTAATGGCAGGCTATTATATTGACGTATAACATGAAGGCCAGGAAAAGAAATTGAATTGTGCACAACCTAAAAATTACGTGGTTAAGCAAATTTATATTACTTAATTACTCACCATAGCTATAGTTTGCTATAATTACCACTCGCGACTAACATTATACATTAATTACGTGGGCTGACTTCGAGTTTGTATAATTAGTCACATTTGTATATGTATAATTCACCAGAATATACAATACATATGTATAATATACAATTATCTAACCGATATACATATACAATTCACCTTTCTCCCACTCTTTGCCCTCTCTCTCGCCTCTCCCCTCTCTCTCCCAGTCCCGCTCACCTCTCTCCTCCCTATAACATGTAGCTATGAATTGTAATTATCAAACTATAGCTATGAAGAGTAATTAGGCTATTTTTGAGTGGCTATATGTGAAAGTTCCTCATTGGAAAATGGTTTGAAGACAAAAATTCACTTAAGGTTCGATATTTAATTTGGGGCTGATTAATCCGGCATCCGAAAGTCTCTCTTTGGAGTAAAATCTCCTACCAAAGACAATTTCACGTCAGAACTTAAATTCAATTTTTTTTTAGAAAATTACTTAACTAATTCCTACCAAAATGAGAAATTAAAAGAACACACCAACTTGAACAATTATCATTTAGATGTATACCCATGAAAATTCTACCTTAACTTTTCATATAAAGAATATTTTTTACCTCAACAAATAATGTTATTAGAGATAAAATGAAAATAGTAAAAATAAATAGCACTAAAAAAAGAAATAAAATAAATATAGGTTTAGAAAAGAGAAATGTCCCACTCCCTCCATTCCATCTCATGTGGCATTTTATTTATTTAATTTGTGAAAAAACAAATTAATTTTAAATTTTCTATTTATCGTTTCCTAATAAATATTTTAGTATATAATCACTATTTATGATTTCTTTTCTTTTAAAAGATAATTACTTAACTAGGAAAACTTATACATTATATTTAGAGAAAATTTCATAAATAACTAAGAGTTAAAACATAACGAGTCTCCTTAACTACTGTTACTTAATCACGTAGGGTAACTATAGTTCCTTGGAATTTTATTTTATTTATACGAATACAAAAAAGTCTTGGAGGGTAAAACTATAAAATCTTCTTAAGGGGCAAAACAAAAAATAAAAAAGAAAATTCTATTTTTCTTCCTAATAAAGGTGGAAAATTTGTTCAATGTGAAGCAATTTCAAATTTCCCTCCTTTTTTGAATTAACGGTAAATTCAAGAATCAAGATGTGGCCCTTTCTATATATAATATCAACATTCTCTTGTCATTCCCATTCTGTATCAATATTTGTCTTCAACTCAATTTTGTTGTGGAAGAAAGACTCCTACTGAATGCATCCATTGCCGTGAGTGCAGAACTGGAGTTGCATTTGTCGACGAAACCGCTCTTCTTGTATGGATTCTCACTCTGCATCTACTTTTCCAAATATGCTAATGCTACTGATTTCAATATTTTAGATTCTTCTACACATATTTGTATCATGAATTGTGATTAATTTTTGGATTTTTGTTTTCATGAACATGACGATTTTGTTATTAATTAAATACTGAATTAATGATTTCTTCAGATGGCACTCACTCGACCATCCAGGTTTATTAGAGAAGGAAGATTGTAAGTTTCTAATTACAAATTGAGACTATACACATATGCGGTATATATGACTTATACAAATGAGTATTTTTTGTGGCAGGGAAAAGGATAGTTTATCGAATGAAGGCACTAATGAGCAAAAAGATTTAGGTGCTAATGGGCAAAATGATGATCAAGATGGAGATGCTAATGAACAAGATTTAGGCGCTAATAATATGAGATTGTAAGTTTCTAATTTTGGACTGTATATGTGACATGACTTGTAATGTGTTAATTCAAATGAGTATTTTGTAGCAGGGACGAGCTTATTTGCTGGAATGATGTAACACTGCTTCATCTTCTCTCTCGAGGCCATAATGAACAGCCTCCTAATGATCAAGATGGAGATGCTAATGAACAAGATTTAGGTGCTAATGAGCAAAATGTTGATCAAGATGGAGATGCTAATGAACAAGATTTAGGCGCTAATGAGCAAAATGCTTATCAAGATGGAGATGGTAATGAACAGGATCCTAATTATGAACAAGATTTAGGCGCTAATGCTAATCAAGATGGAGATGGTAATAAACGAGATTTAGAAAAGCGATGGAGATAGAACTGATCACGATGAAGGCACAACTGATGAAGATGAAGCTACAACTGATCAAGATGGAGAGACAACTGCTCAAGATGGAGGGGCCACTGCTCGACTTGCTACTGATCAGGATGAATAGAAATGATCAAGATGGAGACGCTACTGATCAAGATGAAGGCACAACTGATCAAGATGGAGAGACAACTGATCAAGATGGAGACGCTACTGATCAAGATGGAGACGCTCCAATGAACTGAATGAAGATGTAGACCAACTAATGATGAAAATGAAGACATTGATATTCTGCTTATACAAAATACTACAATTCATAGTTGTGTGATATTCTGTTTTCCATTTCTGTTTTGTGATATTCTGTTGAGACTGTACTTTTTACATGTTTGAGCGACCATTCTGTATATGCTTCTTAGTTTTTTAATTTCTTGATGCAAGTCATCTGTCAAGCATTTGAGTATAATCAACTACTGGATTACTAATATTTCCTTAGATTTTGCTTGACAGTAAATGGCACTCAACTTCAGTTAGTGGATGAATTTTTCAAAGCCACACAGGAGTGTGAATGCTAGTGTTATAAGAATGGGGATTTTAGGAAACTGTTATAGTAATTCACTTTCTTGTACTTTCTTTTTTTACTCTCTACATTGTTTATTATTTACAACGACCATTTAAATATAAGTCTGATCCTTACCGTAGACTACACATGCGAGGCACACGTATGCTAAAGTTAGTATTTTTATAAATAAAAAATTACTAGTGACCTGCAATTTCTATAATATTACAAATTATAATAATTACGTAATTACTATACTTACGTTTATTATTTACATCGAATAATCATTACGTTTAAATATAAGTTTGACCATTATCGTAGACTATACGCGTGAAACACACATACGCTAAAACTAGTATTTTAATAAAAAAATTGTTAGTGAAATTTTCACAAGAGTCACATAATTAAATTGCAACTTTATCTGTTGTGAAGAGTGAAGTGAATAAAATAAGAAAAGAAACATTAACTATATTTATGTCCCTCCAATCTGTTTTAACTATTCAAGATTCAAGTACTATTTTTTCAGCATACAAGAATCTATTTTCTGTCCTCTTTGTTCTATTCTACTCTCTTTTTTCACTCCTTGTATAAGGTAAATTATTTATTATTTACATCGAGTAACTATTACACTTAAATATAAGTTTGACCATAACCGTGGACTACATGTGTGAGATGCACGTATGCTAAAACTGTTATTTTTATTTTTATTTTAAATATTAGTGAAATCTTCACAAGAGTCACCTAATTAATTTGCAAACTTAATCTCTCATAAGTGAAGTGAATAAAAAGAGAAAAAGAAACATTA